ACTGAAATGTTGAGGGAGCATTTGTCAGTCCAAAGGGCATTACTAGGTATTCATAATGCCCTTCATGAGTTCTAAAGGCTGTTTTAGCTATATCTTCTTTTTTCATCCTAATCTGATGGTACCCTGACTTCAAATCCAGTTTAGAAAAGATGATAGCTCCTCCTAACTCATCCAATAACTCTTCAATGACAGGTATAGGGAACTTATTTGGTATGGTTACCTTGTTCAGAGCCCTATAGTCTGTGCAAAACCTCCATCCTCCATCTTTTTTCTTCACCAACAAGACAGGACTTGAGAAGGGACTAGTACTATGCCTTATAATCCCTGCTTGTAACATCTCCCCAACAATCTTTTCTATTTCATTCTTTTGATAGAATGGATATCTGTAAGGCCTGATCTTGGGAATAGCAGCATCATGTTTCAAGATAATGGCATGATCATGCTCTCTCACAAGTGGAAGTCCCCTAGGTAAATTAAATATTCCTTCAAATTTGCTTAATAGTGCTTCCCGTTCTGCTAACCCCTTACCACCATCTTCTGGAGCAGTCTTCAAGGATTGCACATAAAATCCTACTCCTTCATCACCCAAAGCTTTTAGCATGGCTTTCATAGAAGCTTGTTTAGTGCACAAAGCAGGATCTCCTTGTATGCTGTACGTTTGTCCTCCCCGTTCCCATTTCAAGCATAACTCTCCAAGATTTGCTTCAATATCTCCTAGACTAGCCAACCAATCCATTCCCAGCACCATTTCTGTCCCTCCTAAATCCATCAAGAAATTTTTTTGGTTAAATTCCACTCCTTGCACTTGGAATCTTAAGCCTTCACATATGCCTTGGTTCTTCACTCTTTCTCCATTCCCAACCTCAATCACATAAGTAGGAGTATCTAGTAATTCCAACCCTAACTGTTTTACCAGTTGAGAATCAATGAAATTACTGGTGGCACCTAAGTCGATCAAAGTAATTACTTCCTTGTCTTGTACTGTCACCCTCACCTTAAAGGATTTGTTAGAAGTAAATCCCTGTTTACTCTGCATTGACAGCTGCAAAGTTTTACATTCTTCCCCTGCTTCTCCTAGTTCCTCAGTTTGAATTCCCATTCCTCCTATCTCTTCTTCCTCCTCACTACTATTTTCACACAATTTCAAGCTCATATGCTTGAATTTACAGATGTGCTCCATGTTCCATTTGTCACCACATTTAAAACATAATCCTTTCTTATTTCTTTCCTCCAATTCTGCAGGATTTAATCTGCAGCCCTTATACTTTTCATTACCCCCACCACTGGCCCTCTCACCTTCCCTTCTATACCCTCCACCAATGTCTCCAGGACCCTTGATCCTTAGAGATCCTCCTATGTCCCTCCATGAACTACCCTTCTTGGTAATAACTTCATTTTTTTCCTCAATCAACAATGCCCTGTCCATGAAGCTTCGACTCAGCTTGAATCTCCTCTTTCAGTCCATTCATAAAGATTGAATCCAACATGATTCTCTCCTCTCTCCTTAATGGAGCTAGCAACATCTCAAACTTCTCCATATACTCCACCACTGTTCCTTTCTGTTTCAAATTGAGTAAAGGTCCCATAGGATTGTGCAGTAAGCCAGGCTGGAACCTTCTCATAACAGCGATCTTAAACTCCCCCCACATTCTCAATGGTGCCTGTTCCTCCCACCATTGATACCAATTCAAAGCTCTATCCTCCATAGCCAGTACTACTGCATCCAGTTTCTCACGCACCCTTATTCCGTTTAACTGAAAGTATCTTTCTACGCGAACCAGCCACCCGTACGCGTCATCACCCTTGAAAATGTCCGTACTCGTACTCGTCTCCTCGTGGTCTTCCATTTCTCCCCTGATTCCGAACCGGTCGTTCCTGAATCAGTTGTCGTATTTGCTCCACCGTGACTTGAGGTCTAGCTTGTTGCTCTAACACCAAAGTTCGGATTTGCTCAATCGTCCCCTTAAACTGATTCATCCTCTGTTCGATGGTTTCAACTCTGTTTTCCATGATACTTCGAGTCACAACCATCCACTGCGCAGACGTAACCAAGGCTCTAGATACCAAATTGATAGGTTCAATTTAGTATCTAAGTACAGAAAAATAGAAAGTGCACAGAATATGAGAAGAAAGGAATGATTTTTATTGATAGCACCAGAGTTCAAACGGGATCTGGTAGTACAAACAAGTGCAGAAGCTTGCAGAAAGTTGCAGAAAAATAGAAAGCACAAAGAGGCTCTTAGAGAGGCCTTATCTCTCCCATGAGGATATTATCCACTCAGTTTCTGCGTGCTGTCTAAATGAGTCAGTCCCCAATCCCACTCCTAGGATTCTCTTACCACTCAAGTGCTGCCAGCTGTATCAGCCCATGTGCAGCACTAACTAACAGATTTGTCCTATTCTCTCTCCTTCCCTTTCTTGCGTTTCCTAGCATAAAATTTGCCATATCTACCAGCCACAAATTAAGTAGGAATCAATTCATTAGAAAGATGGGGAATAGATTCATAATAAGTTTTTCATTACCGAATCAAGAGCTGCTTTGAATAACTTAGAGGCTCGAAGCTTTTCTGGTTTATCAGGGAATACCTACAAAAAAGGCCCAAACGTAGTTACAACTTCAAAAAAAAAACACAGTTTATATGTGAAAAGAAGTGTTTGTTGCATTGAAAGGAAAGAAAGAAAAATTTGTGCTTTCTTACTATACAAACTGTGGACTCTTTTTTCTCCTGGAGCTTTCTTACAACAGCCAAGACAAGTTGAATGTTGGCATCGATGAAATCATCTGAAGATCCCTTGAAATATTTAGGAATTTGAGAAAATTATGTGCAACATATTCAAAGACAAACATGTCTCAAAAAACGTCAAGTAACTGTCAATCAGAACAGTTTCTTGGAGCATGAAAACTAAATCATCTTAGCCCATCATATTATCAGATATATAAAAATCAACTAAAATGATTAATGTTGAAATACACTGCTAACAAAAAGTAGCAGGAGATGAACTGAGGCATTAAGAGCCGGTATTGCACGCAACAAGATCAACAATAATTTGAAATGTATAATTTAACCTACTAGTTTTTGAAACTTAGTAGTTGTTAGTTAGTACTCTCGCCCAAAGCATACACCGATATACTACACTGAAGAACCAAAACTGAAAATAACTAGTCACTTGATAAAGTATGGTTCGCAAGAGCAAAGAATAGTACCTTATATGAAGAAACATCGCTGGGCAAAGGCCTGCAGACAAAACCACGTGAACAAAAAAAATCAGAAATAGAATACCACATCAAAAGCACAAGCAAAATATTGCTATTCCGCGTGGATTAGCTTATACTAAGCTTGAATTACAGATTTGAAAATTGTTGAAGATTCGGTTACTCCTTTTTACCTCTCCATAGATAAATATTGACAATAATAAATAATATATCAAATACAGAGAGTATGAACAATTCCAAACATTGAGTTTAGGACAGATAGAGAGATTCTACCTTCCGATTTTCTATATTCGGTAACTTTCTTTTCTCTTAACTAACTATTCAGCTTTGTAGTGATCACTCGACATTCAAATTCGCAATAAGCCTAGTTTTAAATTGCAATCACCACACTCAGAAGGCTCAACATAAATGTTTTGAATAATATGTTGCTCTAATTTCTCCATAAATTTTCATAATATCAAGGATGCAACCACAGTTATAACTGATAAGATTAGTTCTATAACAGCATAGTTTTAAACATATATGATTAAGCTCAATCATTTCTATTTTCTCATATTATTATCTATATGTGTGAGTATCAATATTGTGTCTGTGTCGCGTTTCAGTGTTATAGTAATCATAGCATGATTAAATTTCCATAGTATGAACATAATATGAGAAATCTAAGTAATTCAAAGTACAAGTTGACGTACGGGAAATCGATCTCGAGTCGAAGTTTTCCGTCTTGAAGAGCATAAGCGAGGGAATTAGCAGCGTCAGTAGCGAGAACTTGATAGGATTTAGGTTTGTAAACGGATACACCGGATTTAGGATCGAAACCTGGATTTGGATCTGATGACGAGGGTTCTCTTTCGGTTTTAAGGCTTTTGATTTTGAAGGAAGTGTTTCGGAGAGATTTAGAGGTAGAAATTGAAAACGGTAGTGGAGAAGTAGAAGAGAGAGAGGAAGGAGTGAGATTGTGAGGTAGAGATGAAATTGCCATGGAGAGTAACATTGTGTGTGTTTGTGTGGTACTGCAATGGCTCAGAAGAATAGATAGATAGAATAGATAGATAGAATATGGAGGATGAAGATGGTGATGACGCGTCTTTTTAGTTTAAATCGCTTGCATTTCTATTTCTAGTGCCAGTATCATTTCTATTTTTTTTTCTTAATATGTTTTAAATCAATTTTGTATCATATTAAAAATAGTTTTAAGAAACTTAAAAATATTATAAGAGAAAAAGGAAATGCATTATCTGTAAAATATTTTTACATCATCAATTAATGAGATATGTTTCACGATAAATTTCGATTTTATTTTTAAAATATTAAAATGATATGACAAATATAAGAATTTTGATTGATTGTATGTGTAAAATTGTTAATATATTGGATGAAGATGTGGTAAGTAGTGATGATAGTATATTTCTAGAGTGTTCCATTAATAGTATGGGGTATACAGTGTTTAACAAGCATACAAAATATACAATGGAAGTCTTAAAAGTATTTGTTAATGATTTTCAAATCGAAGTGACTCTCCATGAAGATGAAAATTCTGATCTCACTAGTCATAATGTTGAGAAAGTTGTTGTTGACAACGTATGGAACAACATACAGTCAGTTGAAGTAAATGAAAATTTGCACTAAAGAGAAAGAAGGCTCCTCTAGTAGAAGATATGGAGGAAGATGTTAAGAACAATTTGAATTACATAGAGGTTCCCCTGAACAAGAAAATAAATGAGATTCTTACTAAAAGAAAAAGGCATGAAAAAATGTTGTAGTTACAAAAGCTCATGTAGTTCGTATGGAAGGCATAGTGATTAGAGGAAAGGTTGATGGTAAGTCTGGAGGTGTTTATTTTCTTGTCAAGCATAAGGATGCTCGAGGTAAAATCTCTAGAGTGTTCATCTTATGTGATAATATTGTTATTGATGTGTCAGACAACCTTTATAATATGTTGGAGACCGACTCTCCAACTCAGAAAAAGGATGAGCAAGTTGCTCTGTTAATCCTGAAGTGAATGATATTGTGAATAAGATGAGTAACAAAATTGATGATAATGTTGATGATTTTGTTTCGGTCCTTGATAATAATGAAGTTTTTACTAAGTCTACTCCTACCAATAAGGATGAGTTTGTGAGTGAAGATGTTAACGACATCGGGGTTATCGATGATTATTTTGCTGATGAGATTTTTACAATTAAGAAATTTCCCATAAAAGGAAAGAAGAGTGCTCCCAGCAGTGCAGAGCGTGATGTCGAGGAACCTGTCACCTATATATTGCATGACATTGCTGACAATGAAAAGATTAATGAGCATGTTGTAAATCATGTTAAAAGGTTTAAAATGTCTATTGAAAAAAATAATATTCCCAAGAATACTCCATATGTTCCTTTTCATTTTCAAGAAAGTACAGTCAAAGGGAATTTTGTTTACAGTAGGAGAGTGACTCTTGATAAACTCTTGTTGAAGCACTGAAGTATAGTGAAATTATGAAGTCTCTTAGTGATGCCCAATCATTAAAGACAATGTTGAATGTTAAATCTTGTTATCCTAAATTGGTGAAGGAATTTGTGGCTAAATTTCTTATTGGTTTCTCTATTTGATTGTGGTGTAAGGAATGATAATAGAGCTTATAGGATGCTGAACTTCAATTATAAATTATTTGTCGGGAAACATGTCCCTAACATTAGTCTTCCCAATTTTCCTGTTATATGTTGAACTATATTTCTTACAATCATTAATATAAGCAAGTTGAATCAAACCACTCTTTAATTTTCAAGATCACTCTTTCATCATTGACTATTCTTTTAGTTTATGTTGATGATGATGTAATAACTGAGAATGATTTGAAGAAATTTAAATTCATCAAAGAAGTATTACACATTTCTTTTAGAATCAAAGATTTGAGCAGCTGAAATATTTTCTAGGCATTGAAGTAACACATTCAAAAGAAGGAACATCTTTGTTTAGTGGAAATATTGTCTAAATTTACTAGAAGACTTAGGTTTTGCAGAATCCAAACCAGTCTTAACGCCTTCAACTCCTAATGTTATACATATTGAAGATTTGTAGAAAGATTGATATATCTGAATACAACTAGACCTGATATTACAATTTGCACACAACAGTTACGCCAATTATTATCTTCTCCAAATTGTCACTCATTTTAATGCAGCTTGTAGAATATTCAAATACCTCAAAACATGTCTTGGTCGTGGCATAATGTTTCCTATAGATACTACTATTCAGTCGAATGGATATTATGATGCATATTAGGAGGGGTGCATAGATACTTGAAGATCTATTTCATGATAATGCTTCTTTCTTGGTAAATTGTTGATTTCATGGAGAACCAAAAAACAACTAACACTCTCAAGATCATCATCATAAGCAGAATATTGAGCACTAGCAGTTGTAACATGTGAATTACAATGGTTACTTTATCTCATGAAGGATAGTCAAATGCATTAAAACACATATGATCTATTGTAATAAGCAAAGTGTTATTCACATTGCAGCCAATCCAGTTTGTCACGAGAGAACTAAATACCTAGAAATAGATTGTCACATTGTTAGATAAAACAAAACAACAGGAGTCATGAAATTGCTATCAGACAAATTCAAAGATCAATCAACTAATTTCTTCACAAAGTCTTTGCCCCTTGAACCTTTTCAAGCTCGATTACTCAAGTTGAAGATGGACAATAACCAACTTTTAACTTGTAGTGGGATAATGAAGCATGGAGATACAATTTGACAGTTGTAGATTGTTAAAATTATGTTTTAATTCAACTAGAAAGTTGGTTATTTGTTATTCAAACAACAATCGATTACATATTAATACCATTTCTTATGGTGCAAGTCTCGACTCTTATATACAATTAGATCATTGTTTCTAATCACAATAAATATAAAAGTTTCTTTCACAATGTTAATTCGGATTTTTTAATATATATATATATATATATATATATATATATATATATATATATATATATATATATATATATATATATATATATATATATATATATATATATATATATATATATATATATATATATATATATATCAATAAAACTTTTATTTATATCCCAAGAATAGATGTCTAGTAAATAATTAAATATAAAAACTAATTAATAATAATTAGATTAATATAAAGACTTAATTGATAGTAAATATCAAATATATTTTAACTTTTTTAAAATATTTAGAGTTAAACGAATTTATAAGTATTCACTAAACTAATTTGGAGCTTACTCATTTTTGCTAAAATATTACAATTTTTAGAATATTGTTAATTTGTAAAATTTAAAAACTATTTAATAATATTCCCAATTTCCTCTTAATTTCCACAACTAATTTGCCCTATTCAATGAAATACTACTAGTAGTGTAGTAATTTGAAATGAAGGAGAGATAAAGATTCAACTTTCAAGTACATTCCGCGTGAAAGAAGGAATGCAACATTCAAGTATATACTACAATTTCCCAACCATACTTTTTGTTGTGGACCATTATATTTAATGGACTTCTAGTACTCTATAAGCCTTTCTACTTTGGTGATTTTATATTTTTATTTCTATTGTTATTTTAGCCTATTTTAGTTCAACATTTTTTGATGATCAATGTACCTACCAAGTTCACAGCTTCCCCTTTCCCTCTTATCTCCTCCCATTTTCCCCTCCAAACTTGTTTGTTTTAGTGCTCACAAGCATGCTTCTCAACCTCCTTTACCAAGGTATGTGTATAATATGCATAATTTTGAAACCATATTTTAGAGTTTTTCTACAAAAATTCAAGTATTTGTAGGCTTTTCAATCAAGGGTGCAAGCTGGTTGGATGTGGTTCAGCTGTGCCAACTCTTGAGATTACTAATGATGATCTTGCAAAAATAGTTGATACTTCAGATGAATGGATAAATGCTCGCACCGGGATTCGTAAGCGAAGAATTCTTTCCGGTTAGTATGTTGTTATTATGGATGAGAGAGGTAACTCAACTGATTTGAACTAGTTGAGCTAAGGGCTAAGGCTAACAATAGGGTATGGGTTGCTTTTGCTTGATCTTATACTTGTATAGGTGGAGAAAACTTGACATCTTTATCAATAGAGGCAGCAAGAAAAGCTCTTGAGATGGCAAAGCTTGATCCTAATGATGTTGACTTAATCTTGGTGTGTTCATCTACTTCAGATGATCTTTTTGGCACTGGTCCTCAGGTTAGTCTTTGGTTAAGGATGTGTCATTATGCATTGCAAACAATAAAGGTTATATAAATAACGGCCGTGTTTGCATTACGGTTTGCAAAGACTTTCGCAATTTCGGTCGGTATAGGTGTTGGAGTATTGATTGCGATCGTCACACAATTTCTCTTTCATCATAAGAAAGTGAATAACTGTAAAGCACATTTGAATATCGTTTTGTTGCAGCCGTCTTCGCAATAATGTATTGTTTTTTAAAACCTTGCAAACAATTTAGATGCATGCATTACTAACTAAATGACATTTGTGAGTTTCAGATTTCAAAACAGCTTGGTTGCAAAACAAATCCAGCAGCTTATAACATTACAGCTGCATGTAGTGGATTTATCTTGGGTTTAATATCAGCTGCTGGTCACATTAGAGGTATGAACCAGTTATATTTTTTGAATTAAGGTTTGTAATATGATGATAATATCTCATGAATGTGGTAAATATTATTTGTTTCCTTAATTTGTCCATGTAAATGAATGATGCAGGATCTGGATTTCAAAATGTTCTAGTAATAGGTACTGATGCTGTTTCGCGATATGTCGATTGGACTGACAGAAGTTCTTGTTTTCTTTTCGGTGATGCTGCAGGTGCTGTTCTAGTACAGGTAACTCTTTACCTTCTTGAAAGTGTCGGAAAAAAGTGGTGTAAATTTATAACATTGTTCTGATGTTATGATTATATAATAGGCTTGCAATTGCGAGGAAGATGGTTTATTTAGTTTTCATTTGAATAGTGATGGTGACGGATATAGGTACGTGCCACTCTGATTGAACGTGTGTCTTTCATTATTATCATTGCCGGTTTGTCAGAAGTGTCTAGTGTTTGTGTCAGTGTTTCGTAACTCCTCAGAACACGTATATTGTTAATTGTTATGTGGTTAATGATCTAGTTTCGCTTCATTTAGGCATTTGAATGCTGCATGTAAAGAAGAAGGGGCTAATAATAATATTGCACAAGAGTTTCCTCCCAAGAAGTATTCATATTCAAGCATTAATATGAATGGCAAAGAAGTGTTAAAATTTGTTATAAGAAATGTGCCACAGTCAATTGAATCAGCACTTGAAAAAGCTGGTATGTCTGCATCCAGCATCGATTGGTTACTTCTCCATCAAGTAAAGTGAAAATGATCATGTTGAAATTAATACTTACATAGCCCATAATTTTGACTAAAATTGATATGATCAATGCTAATAATACATTATTACTTGTTGAGACATGTAGGCAAATCAGAGAATAATGGATGCAGTGGCAAACAAATTAGAAATTCCATCAGAAAAAGTGATATCAAATGTTGGAAATTATGGGAATACAAGTGCAGCTTCAATTCCTTTGGCTTTAGATGAATCAGTTAGAAATGCAAAGATTAAACAAGGACAAATTATTGCAGCTTCTGGCTTTGGTGCTGGTCTTACTTGGGCAACAGCTATTTTTCAATGGGGCTGAAACCTTCATCTATTTCTTTAGGGATAAAGTTATTGATATTCATAATATTGATTTGTTTTCCTGCTATTTACTACTACATGGTTTTGATTATATATTTACTTATAAAGTTAAGTGGCACCTTCTTCTTCTTGTTCCCGTTGAAATCCTCTTATCTTTTATTCCTCAAGAAACCATATGTAATTGAACTTGGATAAAGTTCTTACTTTGTTTCAAATCTATCAAGTACATGTTCTTAAGTTAAAGAAACATTGGGTTATATAATTTTTCTTATTAGTTTACAAGTTGTAACCCAGAACTCAATCAAATTACACACAAGGGAATCATCTTCCATAAAACATAAACACAAAAGAATCATTTATGAATTGTTTATCTTTATATGCTTAAAAGTTGAAGGAAAAATTAAATTGTTGATTAATCTGCTTTGTTGAAAAGTGAAATAAATATTTGTGTGTTACAATTATGGTTTAAGTTGAATTGATCAATACCTCACATTGCATAAAAAAGAAAGAATTAAATAGGTGTCTTAACTTAACTTAATCATGACTAAGTGGGTATTTGATTTTCATGGCTATTGCCGCCAATTTCTTGATGCAAAGGGATTGGATCCGAGTGATACTTTGAGGATAGTCATTATTGCAAAATACTTTCTCAAACTTTCATTCTCTTATTCTCTTATTGGTGAAACACTTATGAATCTCTATTTCATAAGTTTCACATGAAATGACACGCTCCACACATGTTTTGTCCAATAAAAAAATAAGTGTGTAGAAGAGTTGAAATGAGAGTGTTCCTCTTATGTTCACCAAATTATAATTGTTGGTGTAAATTCTTGATATAATTGTGCAGATCTCCGATGCGGTTGTGCGACCGTGGGTCTGTAAAGTTAACATTCCAATATCGATAGTGTAATCTAAATGCGAGATAGATGTTGGTTTTGTAAGTTCAAGTAAACCTCAGTGTTTTGCCTATTTCTTCTTTGAAAAGCTTATTCATCATCCTTTGGTATGTTGCCTTAGAAATCTTCAAGTCAAAAGGCATCATGTTATATTAGTAGTTGGTTTGTTCAGTCATGAATCTTTGTGGTACTTCATCCTCAGGTGGAAAAGATGGGCTACAACATCCAGAGTTGCTAAGAATGGTCGACCAAGAACGTTGTTGTAAAAACTTCCACAATGAATCACAAAGAAGCGAACATTAATGGTTCTCTTATTTCTCTATTATCCTAAAAAAATCAGCTACATGTCCACATGAACGAGTAGAAAACTCGTTGAATGATAGAAAGCTTTGGCCTTTGCACGACCTCAAATCTTTCTTTCTTAAGCTGAACTCTATGAAGATTCAGAGGTATATCAAATTGCAGGAACTTTCATCATTAATTAGGATTCCCGAGACAAAGTGTTTAGCAATGCTAACCGCAATTACCAACGAAAGCATTGTGTTATGAGTTCCATCAACTTTATCGTGGTCTTGGACCCGAATATTGGTTTGTCGGTCTTTCGCTTCTCAATTAGCGGCTTTGAGTTGAGAGATCCTTGAAGTGGAGTTCTTCATTCTTGACCATATTTCCACTAAATGCATCTATGACGAATACTAAAGGTGATCTTGAATTGCAGACTTCTGAAGTGTTTTAAAGATTAAAGTGATAACAATAATAATAATAATAATAATAAGATTAAAGTGATAAATATATAATATATACGTAGTGTAGTAAAAACTTTCAATAGAAATGATCATGCTGATAACGTGTTGAGAAAAACCGACTTTATTGATTTTGTCCCATAAAATCTTGGGATTTTTGCATTTAAGTACTCTGTTTGTAATCCATCATCAAGGTGGTGCTTGATTATTCGATTTACTTTCGAATTTTTCATTGCCATTTCTTCTGGGTCAACTTTTCGTGAATTATCTCCTTCAAGTATTTTGTCGAGTCACTCACGTGCAAGATACTCAATCAAATTATTATTCCAAGTTATGTAGTTGTCCCCAGTTATGCTTAAAATTTTGAATTGATGCTTAACATTGGACAATGATTATATCTAAAATTTAGATGAACATAATCAATATTTAATGCATAAACTAAAAAAAAATCAATTTATTCAATAACAATGATCACAAAAACTATGATCATGTTTTATTCAAAAACCTCTATCAATAAACCAAACTAGGACTAATAATGGTAAGACGATAATTATCAATAATACTACGTAATCTTTACCTAATTCTTCATGTCTAATTATACTAATAAGGAACAAAATAATGACAAGTAGAAGTGATGAACAAAAGAAAACATATAGCCATTTGAATAAATATGGATATATATTTTGATAATGATGTGAAAGTTGTGAAAGAAATTGAAGTATTTATAGAGATAATTTTGTAAAATTACCGTTATAGTTATCATTTGGGAAAAAGGAAAAAAAGAAAAGAAAAATTTAAGTGTGTTAAATATTATCTAGCTAAATTTTAAGTGTGTTAAATATCATCTGGCCGTTATAAGTGTTAAAGATAATTATAAGATAATATATATGATAAATGAACACATATGATAAAAAATATTATATGAATATGGGGTTAGATCTTCACTAAATATAAAAGTTAGTATATGCATATCAGGTTTTAGATATCTATTAAATACAAAAGTTAATATCTATATATGAGGTTTTAGACATCCATTAACTATTTGTAAATGGGGTTTTAGATAGGGGTGGCAAAACGGGTTGGACTGAGATTTTCGGTTCGGTACCTTAAGTTGGCCCGTCCCGTTTAATCCGTTTAAAAAAGTGGATCGTCCCGCCCCACCCCACTTTTGGACGGGCTTAAACGGGGCGGACCGAAATGGGGCGGACCGTCCGCTTTGCTACCTCTACTTTTAGACCTCCACTGAATATAAAAGTTATTAACTGTATATGAGATTTTAGACATCCATTAAATATAAAAGTTAATATTTACGTATTTGATTTTAGACTGTTTTATACCTCAATTAAATATAAAAATTAGTAAATATATACGGAATTTAAATATCTACTAAATATAAAAGTTAATAACTGCATACGAAGAATTTTATATCTCCACACAAAATTTATAATAATAATAATAATAATAATAATAATTACTTTTATTATATAGCACTCGACAAAGTTATCAGTTTTCGATAACAAGAGATAAAATAATAATAAGTATGATACACTCTAATTAAAAATCATTTGATTGACCGGGCACTCTTGGTTCAAGGTGTTTTAATTAAAAAGTTTAAGACATAATATTTAAAATAATTTAAAAAGAAAATCAGCAAAAGGACAGCACAATATCCATACAGCCTAGCAGATTAGAAACGAACGTGTCAGATTGGTTTTCAGATAAACACGAACGGTTCAGATTTGTTTGTAGATAACCCTGTCTTTATTTAAAAAACCCGAAATATAAGATTTTGTTCTAACCCAAAAAATCAAAACAAAAGATATCAATGAATCTATCAATCGCTTCTTTTCTTCTTTCCACCTCTTCCGTTCCAATTTCTCTAACCAATTTCTTATAACTGAAATCACCAATTTCAAGAAATGGCCATGGCTATCACTGCTTCCAGTATTCGATTTCACTTCACTGCTGCTACTGAAAAACCTATTTTCTCTGTTCCTTTTTTGAAGCTATCTTCTAGGTTTACTCATACTATGCCATCTTACTTTCTTCATAAAACAAGGTGAACTACCTCATTGCTTACTTATGATGGATATGCTGTTTTCATGAAATTCAATTATCTCAAGTGCTTAGAATTCATTTTTACATGTGTTCATTTTCTGTGCGGTAATTATATGTGCTATGTACCCTTTTCTCAGATTGTTATCTTCTGGAACTACAATTATCCCTCGAGCAGCACCACCTGTTACTCATCTGCAGGTATTCAGTACTTCATTTCTATAATGCTTCCGGACTGTGCTCATTCATCGGTTCAATTTTTTCTGTGGACAACAGGATGCTAATCAAGGTGTGACTGATACCGTTCCGACTCCGATAGTTATAATTGACCAAGACTCTGATCCAAATGCAACTGTGGTGAAGATAACTTTTGGTCATCGGCTTGGAGCTCTCCTTGACACGGTGTGATGTTTTCTTATTATATTTCTCTGCCTGCTTATCTGCTAGTGTACATTATGAACAAAAAACTTTACTCTCAACATTGGTTTGCAGATGAGTGCATTAAAAAGCTTAGGTCTCAATGTTGTTAAGGCAAATGTCTTTTTGGATTCTTCTGGCAAACACAACAAGTTTTTCATCACAAAAGCGTAAGTCTTACGTGTTTTTCGCACTATGTATGCTATTGTTACGAGTATATGTTAGTTGTTCAATCCACTTATTGATTTTGGTTTATTAATTGACTGTTAATAATGATTATTTTGCTTTTTATGATTAACAATTGTGAATGGAGACATGAGATTGAGAACATAATTAAGGATGTAACACTTAATTATAAATAAAACATATGATATCAAATCATTAGTAAAATTGGAACAAGAAAGCAATGGTAATTAATTGATGATTAAACTATAACACCAGAATGGTTAGGTTTTATGTGTTGGAATGTTCATGTCATGATAGGTCATCTCGTTTAGCATTGTTCAAACTTCAAACCGAGTGACTCTTTAGTTTAGGCCATCATTTGGTTCCGACAGAAACTCCCATAAACATTTTCTTTCTTTAATTCACTCCACCACTGGCCCACACTTGCCTTTCCTTGTGCTTTTGCTCCTAATAGCCCATCCTTACAATATACAACTAAAGCAATCAATTCATGAAATATTAGTTACTTTCTATGCTAATTTGCCTCTGTTTGGATAAACATCTTAGTAAAGCACATATAGCATAAGCACTGATCATATAATATAAGTGCCTGTGCATAAGCTATTTCGATACCAACAAATAAAATAAAGTCAGTGTTTTTATATAAGCTATACATTGTTTTTAGAAGTTTTCAAAACATAAAATATCTCATAAGCTGTTTCCATAAACCCTCCTAAACAGTCTCTCAAGTGCTTATGCTTGTAGGCAAGTCAAGTAAGTAAATCCAAACAGGCATTTTCTTTATGAACTAAATTCATGTTAAAACACACACAAGTATATGCAGTCAGACTTCAGATTAGCCTGCCTAAACAGTATTAGAAATTCACTCTAGAACAGTAAAACTTGTTGGGAACTTGGGTTTAATTTTTTTTCGTTTTAAGCAACAAATATCTTGGATGAGGTTTTAACTAGCTTCTTTAGTAATTCTTTGGATATGCTGGTGGAGCTTTTTGCAGTGATACTGGCAGAAAAGTCGAAGATCCAGAGTTGTTAGAAGCAATTCGTTTGACAATTATAAATAATCTGATTCAGTATCACCCGGTATGCTTTGCCAAATATCCTCCTTTCTCACTGGAGGGTGATTTGTTTATATGCCAACAAGCAATTCTCACTTCTCTGCTAATTAGCATTTTCAAAATGGTTGTCCAGGAATCAAGTTCTCAGTTAGCAATGGGAGCGGCTTTTGGACTTCTACCTCCGAAAGAGCAGGTGATGAATGTCTATACTTTTCAGTTTCAGTTGTAACACATGAATTTTTCATTTTTTCCGGTAACACAGGCCGGCTGTGTGAAGCTAAAAGATGAGGGCTCGTTAACTACATATGTGTTTCCTGTTTCTATTTCCACTGATAAAATAAACATTAGAGAACACATTGTGGATGCTTTTTAAAATGAATTTTAAAAATATATTGGATATTTCTGAAAAATGTCAAAATATTGTTTTCTGTGTTTCAAGAAATGCATTCTCTCTAGTTAGATTTTATCTTCTCTATATAACACTTAAAAAGAAAAATTCTTAACCAATTGTCATTCAGGTTGATGTGGACATTGCAACACGCATAAATATCTCTGATGATGGTCCAGATCGAAGGTAATGCATTTGTTTGTTTCTTGCTTAACACTAGGTATTTTGATCAAATCAGGAAATCACTTTGTTGAAGTTATGCTATATACGGTCTTAGAAGAATACTTATGCTTGTACTTTTGGCTAATATACGTATACTTATTTGTTTTCGAATTTGCAGTTTGTTCTATGTGGAGACAGCTGATCACCCTGGATTACTCGTTGAACTTGTAAAAAGTATTACTGATATTGACATTGCTGTTGAATCTGGAGAATTCGACACTGAGGTATGTGTGTGTGTGTGTGTGTGTGTGTGTGTGTGTGTGTGTGTGTGTATATATATATATATATATATATATATATATATATATATATATATATACGGGTCCTAATTATAACTTGCGCTCTAAATAAACATTCTGAGTTCTGATCAGTCATTATTCAAAATGAACGTATCAATATTGAGTTCGACTCATTCGTTGATAAGTGGGCAGATGCTCAAGCATAACTAAAAGTGTAAGGAAAGCACCTGCCATTTGGGATTGGCCCATTAGTTTATTGGGTTACGACTAGGAGGGTTGGGGGTGCAGGGGGCTTTGCCGTGTGCGATATGGTTTAGGGGTGAATTGGTGAACTAGATCATAGTATTTAAACACAATTTTGTACTTTGTTACCCTAATTCATTGAAAATAGAAAAGTCAACAACTACTCTGCAGTTGGAGTTGTAGTTACAATTGGCCGAATTACGCGTTCCATCGTTGTGTTCTTGTGCATTTATCTTCTTACTTTAGAAATACATTTGCTATTCTAGCAATCAATTTAATTATTGAGCTCTGAAAAATAAGGGAATCTGTTTATACCAGTCTGATGAAAAAGCTTTGTTTGAACCTAGGGGCTCTTGGCCAAGGCGAAGTTTCATGTTAGCTACAAAGGCAAAGCAATCAGCAAGCAGCTGCAGCAGGTAACTTCAGTCTTCTAATTTCTCCTTCTCAAACAAAAAGGTTTAATCTTCAACTAAGGCTTTGTTTGATAAGACCAAACCACTAGCTTATAGCAGATATCATATAGCGTATAAGCTCGTATGATTAAAGTAGACTTGTTTGGTAACTTTCTTCTCTCACAAGCTTAACACATTTTTCCACTAGAATATACTTGTTTTTGAGATGCTACTTAAGTAACATAAGAGTTTATTTTTTAAAACCTATAATTCTCTTCTCATTTTTATCATCATTATCTTAATTGAACATTTTCCAATTAATTAAAAGTATGCCTATCTCCCATCCATTATTTTATACCAAACAGATGATAAAAAAAACTAAGATTGTTTCATAAACTCATATATTGAAGTAGACAAGTGGGTCCTTATTTTGCATCTAGTGGGGCACTTTACATGCTGTCAGCATAGATTCTCAAGTTTCTGAACTGATTTAGATTCATATTTATCATCTTGCAGGTTCTTGCTAACAGTTTGAGATATTTCCTGAGGCGTCCGACAACCGAGGAATCCAGTTTTTGAAGGGCATCTCTTTCAATTTAAACAATTTGCATGACAATATATTTTCTTTTGAAGTATAACCACCATCATGGATTGGTGAATGCTTGCCTTCATTGTTTCATTCGGAAGAGAAATGAAGAATAACTGGAATGCATTTACATCATTAAACTGAATTAACAAGGATATGATTGTAAAGTTATTTTTTGCTAATTTCTTACATAAAATTATTTGCAACTTCAAATTCTTTTGATATTTAGTCTTAGTATCTTTTCATATAAAAAAAAAAAACAGTATTCATGGTAAGAATCATGAATAAAAGGTGTTGGAACATGTCAGAAATTCCAAAATGGGGATGAATTTGAAAAAAAATTCTGTCTTACAATGTTAGAAAACTATGTGGTTGTGTGTTAATTGAAAAAAAAAAATCTATGATCCACATAACAAAAAGAAATAAAAAGTCTTAGATCACAAATTTTGGTTAGCTGTGTTTGATAATTCATGTTTTAGTCTGGAACACTCCAAAAATTACTTGAGTTTTTCCTTCACCGTTCTCTTTACTCTCCGTTTTTGAATTGTTGAAACTCCTATTTCTTTTATTTTCTACTTGTTTAACTTTCTAAGCATTTTTATTTGAATTTCTCTGCGTTTGATAAATTATTTGGAATAGTCAAATAATCATTATTGAATTCTCTTTAGTGAATTATTTAAATTTATTTGAAAAAATATTTAGAATGATATTTGTATCATGAAGGGTGTATTTTTAGACTGATTATCTAATGTGTAAGTAATAAACATACGGGATAAAATTGTGTTGTTTTATCTTGGACACATTATTGTTGATCTTACTTTGAAACGAGAAACGTCTTTAAGAGAGTAATTTATTCTAAGATTCGATCCATAATTTTTCCAGTGGCAATTTTTTTCAAAATTGTAAAACAACAATTTAAAGAGATTTTGAAGTGTCATGACTCATGACGAAATTATTAGTACATCTTCTACTCAAAATACTATTTTTTGAATTTTTTCTTTTTTACTCTCTTTACTCTGAGTTCTCAAATTGTGGAAACATAACTTCTTTCCTTTTCTTTTTTATTTGTTGAATTTTTTGAATATTTTCTTAAATTCTTAGGAGAATAATTTGAATTTCTCCTCACTTCAGAAATTATTTGAAATAGTCAAATGATAATTATTAAATTTTATTTAAAAAATTATTTGAATTTTTCATCGTTTGAGAAAATATGTGGAGTACTTAAAGAATCATTATTAAATTCTTTTTAGAAAATTATTTAAATTTCTCTTTATCTAAAAAATTATTTAAACTGATATTTATACTTTGAAGGATGTAACTTTAGACATATTATCATACAAATAGTAGTCGTTTAGTATAAAATTGAACTGTTTTATGTTAAAAGACACATAATTAATGGTTTGTTTTATATAATTTTAAATAGTATTGTGAAACATTTTAATAAAACCGATCTAACAACACTGTAATTTCTTTTGTGACATTTTTTTTTAAATTGTAAAAAAAAAAAGTATTCGCTACAAGTTTTCAATAAATTATTGATGGTTCTATATTATTGATGGTGAGTAAAATGTGACAAAAGAGACGATTAAGAAAAAATAGACAAAAACATGAGATGACTAGATTCTTTTTTCGGTTTGGTTCAAATGGTTAGATTCTTTTTGAGTGTGTAACAAGTCCTGCAACCCACTTGCAATCAATTGTTTATAACCATTAAAAATTTAACTTTATGTGATACTTCCATGTTTTTGTGTTTCTATTTCCATATTTTATAAAGAGTATATTTCTTATAATAAAAATATTTTTGAAGAAATAATTATTCAATTCCTAGACTGCACTATTTCAACCAAGTTGTGAATGTGATGATTGAAATTAGAAATATACAACCTATGAATTGTTGTTGGGTCTACCATAATAATCTATTTTATGGTGACCAAATCGAGATATAAGGTAAATTGAAAAAAAAATAAATTAAAAATTGATATATTATACTGATATAAAAATGATTTAAATTTAAGTGATAAATCCAATGACAACAAAATAAACAATTCACTATGCAAAGTTATAAACAAGTTGGTGACTATATAAAATTTAAATAGTAATATTCACTAACATTATTCAGCCTTTATAATTGAAAATCGAAATGTAATATGAGATTCATGTACAAAATACGAGAATTTATTCAAATTATACGCCACACTTTTCATATTTAAATATTTTTAAAATGGTCCTTTTACTATTTAGTTTTAAAATATTTATATTTATCAAAAGAAATTTATTATTGATCAAAGAGATAAAAACAAATTCCGGTACGCTTGCCAAATTCTCGATGGCGAATTTTGGCATATATTGAAAATTCTTTGCATTATCTAAATTTGCGGTTGAAAATAATCGGAAATTTTAAAAATTTGAATACGATTTACTAGAATTTCAAGATTTACGAGACGATTTCCAAAAGTAATTACATAAATCGGAAATTACGTAAATTTCCGGTAAATAGCATAAAATCAAAAATTTGAAATTTTTAGAATATCGGAAATTTCAGTCAAGCACGAAATTCTGGTATGTTTGCATATGAAATTTTATGTCTTTGCGGTCCAGAGCCGACAACTTCAACTTCTTCTATGGATTTATGTACAAATGTTATGCAGTTCTTCACCATATATATCATATGTTTCCTATTGAACTTACATATTTTTATTTGTTTTTCGACATTAAATAATTTGATAAAATTTTAGTAATTATATGTTGTTGTAATTTGCAGGTTTTTGAATCCAGATCTAAATTTTTAGATTGGACACAATCTATTGGTGAAAAGTATGGTATTGCTGTTGTTACAATTCGTTCCGATTCTGCTAATGAAATCCGAGGGAGGAAGAATAAATTGATTATGGATTGTGACAGAGGAGGAAATTACAAAAGAAAAAATGAATCTGGAAACACCTCCGATGACATCTATACTATGAAGGTTAAATGCCCCTTTAGAGTGAGATCTATTTCAAGTGGTATCGGTTGAAAGGTGATGGTTAGATTCTAGATGCATAACCATAGAATAGATAAGGGGTTGGACGACCATGACATATTAGGACGTCTAAAAGATCATGAAAAAAGTTTGTGAGTGACATGACGAAGTACAATATGGCACCAAGGTGTTGGCTGAAGATTTTGATAATGTTATTAGAAGCCAAATGAATTAAACGTTTTGATCGAAATGAGGTAAAGCGTCATGTTTCGAAGTAGCAGAAGCAGTGTTTCGAATAAGTATATCAAAGCTTGGAGCTTCGAGTGGCAATTATGGGAACATATCTAAAGAAGTCTCGAAATAACAACAAGGCTGTGTCTGGGAAGAGCGTTCGAAACAGAGAAGTACCAAAGCATTTGAAATTCAAATGGAAGCGGGACTTTCGAAGTTTGAAAGTTATGTGCTGGAGCATTTGGGGACACGTGGAAAGACGAAAGAGGCATTGTCCTGCATGTTCTAAACGTGGCATAATCCTATAGCGAGACCGTTATGGTCGAATTAGTATAAATAGAAGTCTTAGTATTAGGATTTTGTGTGTCATATCTATTATACAAAATACTCAGTAACATTCAAACTACCACATGGCAAGGGAAACGAATGTAAGAGAAATGTATGTATGATAGCACCATGTATTTCTGATTTAATGAAAACCTTTTACCAGTTCCAGCACTTTCCTTTATCCTTTTGTCAAATAACATTTACAAGTTTTCTCGTTTACAGTCTTTTCACTTCGAAATCTCTTCTTCAAAGTTTTACATTTTAATGTTTTTCTTCATATTTCAAGCACTTTATATCTCAGAAAACTGTCATATTTTCCATACCTTTACCTTCAAGTCTTATCCTTCGAACGCATATTTTTACTTAAAGTCATTTAAAGATTTCTTGCATTAAACGTTTTCTTCATATTTCAAACCTTTTACGTTCCAGAAATCCTTTATATTAACTGTTTTGTAAGTCGAAACCATTTACTTCACTTTCATGCAATTTTACATGTCTTTACAATTAGCATTTATTCATGTAACTTAGTTTTCACACATACATTTTGATTACATCCTTAGACTTTTAGAGAGAGAAATCGAAATAAGCCAAACACATATACAATATCAACCATGAATATCTGTTCGATCGTGAGAGTAACCTTAATATCCAAGGAGTCCTAGGATCAATCTAGTCGATCCTGTGAGTTACCAGAGGAATTGAATAACAGTCAGAAAGATTATTCGATAGTTTGGAAGACTAGCGGTTGTTTACCAGAAATCACTGGAAACAAATTGGCACACCTGGTGGGACCAATAATTGGATATTAGAAATAAGGATTGTTGAGACATAACCATTACAAAAACGTTGGAACCTAAGAAGTTTGCTGTTTTATGAACCTGAGAAGTGGTAAGATAACCAACAGCAACCAACCTTTATCCAGAAGAAAACGTTTGGACAAAATGTCTAATTCAGACAATCAACAAGGGGACCAAAATGGCCCACATACAACAGGCACTAATGCGTCCACTTCGATCGGAACATCTAATGTAATCCCTTCGAATGCACAGTCTGTTGCATCTTCGACCAGTAACATAGTGTTGGCTGAAGATTTTGATAATGTTATTTAGAATTCAAAAGAGTTAAAAGTTCTGATCGAAATGGAATTAAACACCATATTTCGAAGTTGCAGAAGCAGTGTTTCGAATGAGTGTGTCAAAGCTTGAAGCTTCGAACGGTGATCATGGGAACATATCCAAAGGGGTCTCGAAACAACAGCGAGGCTAGGTTTGGGAAGAGCGTTCGAAACGGAAGAACACTAAAGCATTTAAAATTCAAATGGAAGCGGGACTTTCAAAGTTTGAAAGTTATGTGTTGGAGCATTTGGGGACACGTGGAAAGATGAAAGAAGCATTGTCTTGCATGTTCGAAACGTGGCATGATCCTATAGCGAGACCGTTAGGGTCGAATTAGTATAAATAGAAGTCTTAGTATTAG